CTCTCTCTCTCTCTCTCTCTCTCTCTCTCTCTCTCTCTCTCTCTCTCGCTCGCTCGCTCTTGCTCTCAGTTCCTTGCTCACTCATTCTCTTACTCTCTTTTAATCTTTGAGAGAGACAGTAAGGGTGTGTGTGTGTGTGTGTGTGTGTGTGTGTGTGTGTGTGTATGTGTGTGTGAGAGAGAGAGAGACAGAGAGAGAGACAGACAGAGAGAGAACACACGTTGAGCTTTACCTGCCATGGTCAGTACATGGTCCGTTGGCAGTTTGCCTTTGGAGTGTATCATCCTCTAACAATGCTTTTGTTCTCAAAAGGCTGGAAAAAGAGGAATTGAAAAGAAAGGCAGAAGAGGAAAGACTGCTCATAGAAAAGGCCTATAAACAACAAGAAGAAAAGAAGCGGCAGGAGGAAGAAGAGAAAAGAAAGGCAGAAGAGAAGGCAAAAGAGAAGGCTGAGGAGGAGCTGTTGTCAAAAGAGAAGCAAGAAAAGGAAAAACAAGAAAAAGAAATGAAGGAAAAAGCCATGATTGAAAAGCAGGTACAGCCTGAGGTCTCAGACTTTTCTTGTTATTCAGTGGTATTAGTTAATATTGGGCAAAATCTGTTAAATTTGAATGACTCATAATAACTTAAAAGTTTTTCTTAAACTCCTTGTACTGGTTATTAAATGTAACTCATGAAATAAAGTGAAGTCATTAATGTGTTCCATATCAGTTTGGATTTCTCTACTAGAGACAGACACTGGAATAAGAATATGGGTTCCAGTGATTTATTTGGGAGAAAAATCTTATGAATCTGGTGTGAGAATAAAGAAAGTCAGTATAAGTTTATGAATGAATAAGTTATTATGGGTAACTGGAGCTTAGTCCCATTGGAACCCCTGATAATGATAATGACTTAGAATTTTCTCCCTGAGTAGTCAGAAAACTGGGCAATTTACTAACACTACTCCTTACTGTGTGTCTTAGTTGGAGTTTTATGGTGTGTGTGAACAGACACCATAATCAAGGCAACTCTTCTAAAAATAAAACATTATAGTGTTTTATTTTTAAATTGGGGCTGGCTTACAGTTTCAGAGGTTCAGTCCACTATGCAAGTTTTTTTGTACTAGTTTTAAAATACTTTCAAGGAAGTATGCAGGAGATATGGCAGCCTATAGACAGACATGGTGTTGGAGAAGGAGCTGGGAGTTCTACATCAAAGGCAGCCAAAAGGAGGCTCTGATTCCACACTGGGTGGAGATGGAGCACTAGAAGACCCCACCAAGCCCTTCCTCCCAGAGACAAGGCCACACCTCCTAATAGCACCACTCCTGTGGGCCAAGCATCAAACCACCACATTGTAGAATACTGCTTTTTGAGGAACTAACTTCTGGAAGTGTCTGCCTATGTGCACACTTCCTGGCCAGAGCCTGCTCACAAACATAGAGACCTTCACCATCTGTGAAAACTATCTACAGGTGGTTTTTATGGTGGAGTGAGAGTATGTGTACCATGTTCAACTTTCCCTGCTGTGTCAGAAGTATGTTGCCTAAGTCTCCATTAAATATTGAAACATCAACTTTGAGGGAGATGATGGGATGAAGGCACCTGTGAGACCTCAGGGAACTACTCCACTGTTTCTTACCTTACTAAAGCCTGTGCCTTGGTTTGTTTCTTTCAGAAAGAAGCAGCAGAAGCAAAGGCGAAGGATGCCATTAAACAGATGCGTTTAGAAAGAGAACAGATCATGCTGCAGATTGAGCAGGAACGACTGGAGAGGAAGAAGGTAAGAGTGGAGGGAACAGGAGGACTTAAGGTGAGGACAGAAACAGGAAGTAAATCAGTGTATACCTTTATTATGGTTTTTTTCTGTCATCATATCCTATTGGTTATTGAAAAAGGAGTGGTTAGAAAGCTCCATTAATGGGCTGGGCATGTAGCCCCGTGGTGTGAGTGCTTGTTGATCATATATATGGTCATTTGATTAACCCTCACCTCTCAAAACAATAGAGGTCTTTTTGTGATTTTGAATTTTTCCATTTTTGCCTTTCATTTCTGTCAGTTTTGTTACACATACACACACACACAAACACATACATACACACACACACACACAGAGAGAGAGAGAGAGAGAGAGAGAGAGAGAGAAAGAAAAAAAAGTGGAGCCCTATTATTAATAAAGTTACATTTTCTTCTTGAATTGACAGTTGTATCATGAGATCCCTTTCTTAGTTCGTTTTTGTTTGTTTCGAGGCAGGATTTATTTATGTCTTTTATAAACAACATATAGTTTAGTCAGGGCTTGCTATCTAAATCTAATTAAACAGTGTTTGTCTTTCTATTGAAAAATGTTATTCCTTTTAAACCTAACATACTTATGTATCAAGTTGGGTTTAAGGAGAATGATCATGTAGGCCCATTTTTGTTATGGCCCAGTGTATTGTATGGCCCTTTGTATTGCTATAGGTCTAGGAGCTAAGAGAACTGTGACCCTTTCTGAGCTACTATATATCTAGGAGCTAAGAGGTCTGTGACCCTTTCTGAGCTACTGGTCAACTTAGCTTTCTATTGCATAGTCTTCTTGAATGGCAGACAGAATTTGTTGATTTAAGGAGAAGAAAGAGAAAGCTGGTGTTCAAATTGGATGTTAATTCTAGATCAGTATTAGTGCACTCCTTTGACCTTGTTTGTAGCAGTGGAAGTCCTCTGCAGCACCAATGGGAAACATTTCTCTGCTACTTTTTGTCTGCTGACATTTATCTTTTACAACTTTTCTGAGAGATATGAAAGTGCATATGGAGCCAATTTCTTTTTTATATAATTTTATTCTTAGAGGCCTCTTACTTTTCCCCCCAGAGAATAGATGAAATCATGAAGAGAACAAGGAAGAGTGATGCGTCTCTAGAAGTGAAGGTAGGAATTCAGATGGCCATTATGTCGTGAGTGAAGAACAGCAGAATACATTTAGTGAGGTTGAAGATTGAGACAAATGCATAGAAAACATAGACTTTGCCTGTTCTGGTCAAGGTGGGGCTCAGGAAGGAACTGAGACCTTAAAGGAAAGAGGAGTTTCAGAGGTAAAAGATTCCCTCAGAGCAGTGGGGTGGTAGTGCAAGGAAAGACAGAGTAGTTGAAGAGAAAAGTGACATAATAATTAAGAGATACACAGAGCTTCAAAGAACCACTTCCTGCTATGGCCCACAAGGGTTCTAAATACTCCCTGGTGCTTTAAAAACAGTATTTGTTTTTCTTTATGTCAGTCTTTCATCCTTACATCACCTTTTGATTTCTTCCTCAGTCATTGCCAGTAACTTCATTTAAATTTTTTTATTTCTTTTTTATAGTTATTTCTTTATTAGATGCTTTTCCTTTTTTCTCCTTTCCCCCTTCTTTCCAAGTCATCCACTTTCTGTTTGTTTCCAGAAGGAAGACCCCAAAGTGGAGATTCAGCCTCTTCCAGATATCGAAAATAAGACAAAACCAGTTGTCCCCAACAAAATAGGTGAGTGTGAGGTCTGGTGTTTGGATCCTTTAGGTAATGAGGACTAGTGAACCTTCCTGCTGGAGGTCAGAGTAGTGCAGATGGGCCCAGGGCAGTGGCTGCTGGCAGTTTTGCTTACTGAGACATAGTTCTAGCACAAGGGCTATTGACTCCATTTGGAAACACACTACCTTCTTTAGCTGCTCTAATAACTGATGGTTGACCCAGGATGCTTTCCAGGGACCTTGATTGCACATCAGATATTACTAAGACCTGGCTTGTCTCTTAAACTGAGGCCCTGTAAACATTGATAGTAAGATCATACTCTCTTCTCCTTTGTGAAGCTGATTGCATGGAGTTACTGTTGGCTCTTTCCACAATAATAATAATAATAAACTATTGTATTACTGGTGAAAGAAAAGATGAGAATAATTGCCTTGTTATGTTTCCTGTTGCTTTATTAAATTTGGACATTATGATTCATCTGAAGACTTTTGTGTTCTTGATCAGAAATCAATGTGTTGAACACCTGCCAGAAAGTAAATGGCTCAGAGCGTGCTGCTCCAGAAACCTTTCCCCAAGACATTTTCTCTAATGGTCTTAAACCAGTCGGGGGACCTGTTCATCTGGATGTCCTTGATGGGAAATCAAACAGTCTGGATGATTCAACTGAAGAAGTTCAATCTATGGATGTGAGGTATGTTCATTTAAGTTGTGTTGAAACTCAGTCTCTTCGCCAGTCCTTGCCAATTACTCCATTGTTTTTCACTTTTTCATTTCTTTTAGTTACTTCTTTATAATATACCTTTCTTATTGTATCCTTTCACTTGTCTTCTTCATCTGTAATGAATCACCTTGAAAGCAGGTTTTGTTGATACAGGAAAGCTGTCACTGGTGTAATATAAATATCTCAAGTTTGTCATCCTAGAAGCAAAACCAGTGACAGGGTTTTGTAGCATATGATGTACTGAAGGAGGACTGTGGAGGGAGGGAAAGCACTAAGCAAAGATGTGTTCTTAATCTCAACAGGATGTCTGAAGGTTGGCTTTCCACCAAAGCATCATTTTTATTACTATATATATTAGTCATTCAGTGTTGGCAAGGCACTGCAGGTTGAGTGATACATGAGTAACTGTGGCCATAGTGGCTCATCTCAGTTAAAGTTGACAAAAGAAAGGGTAGAAGCTATGAATCTTTGACTAGCCAGCCCTCTGAGGCTCAGAAGAAGGTCCACCTTCAAGTAAAGATCTTAGCCAAGCCACCATCATAGTCTCCTGTGTCCAGAGTCTCACATTTAAGTAAACTTTCCATTTAAAGCTGAGAATGGTGTCAGGTATTTATAGTCCAAGCACTCTGGAGGCTAAAACAGGAGAACCAAGAGTTCACTGGCAGCCTGGGCTGCATAGAAAAATCTGTCACAGAATGATGATGGGAAAAAAGCTTGTTGTCAGTTACTAAAAACCTAAGGTATTAAACTGGTATGTTTGCAGATGACATCATGTGACATATTAATCTAAGATGTAAAAAAGAGCTAATTGGCTTGGGATTGAGATAGAGAAGTTGGAGTAGGGTGGCTCTCTTGAGTCAGGAAAGTGTGACAGTATTTTGTAGAAGTTCTACCAGAGCTCTTATCTATTAAGACCATACCCTTTTCTCATCAGTCATTAACCTTCTGCTTTTTCTGAGCAGATGTGAGCAGCCTGTGACACACACTGATCATTAATATCCTATTCGTGGACACTGGGTTTTGATCAAATACATGAAAACCCAAGCTCCAACAGCACTATCATGAACAGAGAAAATCCTATATAGACTGGTAGTAGAGCTCCCCACCAACCCTCAACTGGACATCTGCATACCTCCAACACCTCCCCCTGACTGGTGTCACTCTGCTCCCATCAGAGAAAAACAGAGGCTATCATAATAAAGGTTAAGACACCATATCTCCACCACCATATTGAGCCAAGCATGCTTTATTTTATGTTTTGGGATTTGGGGCCGGGGCAAGACATGACAACATTGAACAGGAGTCATAAAGGTGAATGGATTTTATTCACTGAGTTCTCCCAAGCTTTTCCCCATCATCATTCTGTGACAGATTTTTCTATGCAGCCCAGGCTGCCATTGAATGCTTGATTGTCCTGTCTTAGCCTACTGGAGCCATATTAAAGCTTATGAAAGCATATGACATTCTCTTACCCATGCTCTTTATTATTATTGCTGATGGTGGTAGTGCTGTGTTTTTGAGACAGAGTCTCATGTAGCTCAGGCTGGGCTTGATGTCACTATGTAGCTGGTGCTCACCTTGAACTTTTAATTCTCCTAAGTGATGATATTACAGGTATGTGCTACCATGCTCAGATTTCCTCTGAGTTCTTGAGGAGCTGAAGTGAGGAGAATGAAATGGGGGAAAGGTGAAGGTGGACCTTAACAAGGCAGCTTGCCCAGATACCTGAAGGTATGCTAGGTCAGTTGCTATGCCTTAGCTTGGCTTAGGTGTGAGGAAAGTAGATCCTTTGAGTTTCTGCAAGTCTACTGATTTTTCTAGATTTGTCTCTAAGAACTCATGAAGGAAGAAGAGCCTGGCATCATCTTTATTCTGTATGTCTTATTCTAGAGTCTTACAAGGACAGGCCCTTAATTTCTACCCCACTACTCCTCTGGACCTGGATTTGCTCCTTTGCTAGACATACAACAGACAACAGTAGTGAAACTCCTCCAATCTCTAAAGAAAGGAAATAAAGAAAAAGCAAGCATCCGCTGGGTTCATCTAGATAAGTCAGGGTGAAATAGAAGCCTGGTTTTAGAAAGGAGGCAGTGGGTGAGATTGGGTCTGTAGTTGCCTGGGGTAACAAACAGCAGGTTCATGTCCCCATTCCCCAACTTTAATTGAGTACATGCTTCATGTGGCCCTGCATTAACTCTTCTCAGCATGGTCACCTCACATCTCAAAGGAGTAGGAGGAGGAAGAAATAACTCCTTTCCCCATTATACAGAGGAAGGAAACTGAGGCTAGAAATAGATAGGAAAAGCAGCTCACCGTAGACAGCACTGCTGGAAGGGTAGCACCAGGAGGCCCAGTGTATATTAGTGGCTCCTTTCAGCTCACTTTAAACTTTTAGCCCTTGCTTGCTCTTGGAATGTCCCAGCCTGAAAACTCTGGGAGGGCATTGCTTCTCTCTAGTAATGTGATGATGCCTGGTGTTATTTTCCTTTCAGCCCTCAGACACTGCACTCACTCTTCTTCACTGCTCTGCCCTGTCTGCTTCTCATGTTCTCAACCACTGGGACCTTGTGTCCACTATCTTCCCAGATGGGAACTCACTTGTTTTCCTAACTTGAACTTTTCCATAAAAGCAGTATAGCAAAACCATACAAAAAGGGGGAAGTACATTATCACGTCATGTTCTCATGTCCTCTCTCCTCTGCCTCTCTCACAATCTGTCTCCCTCATCTCTTCTAGTCCTGTTTCCAAAGAAGAGCTTATCTCCATCCCAGAATTTTCACCAGTGAGTGAAATGATTCCTGGGATGTCTCTGGACCAAAATGGAACTGGTAATGCCCGTGCACTTCAAGATATCTTAGATTTCACTGGCCCTCCAGCATTCCCCAAGAAATCCAGTGAAAACCTCAGCCTTGATGACTGTAACAAAAACCTCATTGAAGGATTTAATAGTCCTGGGCAAGAAACTACTCTGAACACCTTCTGTTGACAAGGACAGCATTCCTTTAATGAAAGGTACAGTCTTTTAATGATACTCTAAATCTCTTAACTAACCTCAACTGAGATGTGGTAAGATTGAGTAAATACTGCCCAGCCTCTTGGGGAGTTGATTTTAATTGAAAATTACAAACACAAATATATATTACAACACACACAGAAATTGAGAAGGATGCTAAGTAATTACTTTATATGTGGGCCCTAATGTAGTGTTCTACTCTTGTCCCTGTGGGTAGGAAGGTTGAGAAGGCTCCACAGTGAGACAAGGAGAGAATGCTCAAATGGCTGCAGGGTAAGTTCTAGTAAAGGGAACCTCATCACTTAGTTTCCCAAGCAGCCATCTGTTCTTGGATTATAGCTGAGGTGAGAGAAGAAAGCTTTATTTTTGTATCCTGAAGGTTCTCTCCCAACAGACCTTTTCGTTGCCAAAGAGCTTTTGTTCTCACTGGCTCTCTGATGGTCACTCTTGCATGGTTTCTCAGGAACATTTTGACCTCTAGAGTTTCTCTTCCTCTCCCTTTCTCCACTTCTCTGCTGTGTTTTACATGCTAAGCTTACACTTTACTACTGAACAACACCAGTCCATCTCATGCGAGAGCCTGTATGGGTTATATTCATTCCACAGTTGTATACACCTATATTTTACATTTGATTTACTTCAAGTTAGGACTTGAAAAAAGAAAAGAAAAAATGCTTTTAAGTGTGTGTGTGTGTGTGTGTGTGTGTGTGTGTGTGTGTAGTTAACTCTCCTGACATGAGTGCTAGGAATCAAATTCAGGTCCTATTCAAGAGCAGTAAGCACTCCTAACCACAGAGCCATCTCACCAGCCCCTGGAACTTATTTTGAACAGTGCAAGCATAATTAGGTCTATCATCAAATCCTTGAATAAGTTAGTAATTTCTAAGGGTTATGCTATTTTATATTTTTTGTTGTCATTTTTGTGTATAGTGTCTGTTTGTTTGTGTGAAGGTGTCCTCCTCTATCACTGTTCACCTGATTCCTTTGAGACAGAGTCTCTCATTGAACCTGGATCTCACCATTTTTGAAGGGCTAGGCTACATGAACAGTGAGCTCCAGCAATTCTCCTGCTCCACCTCATACCCAACAATGTGATTACAAGTGCATATGGGTATGACAATCTCTATGTGGGTGCTGAAGATCTATACTCATACTGACACCTGCACGGCAAGCACTTTTACCAATGAACCTTCTCCCCAGCCCTCCTGTCTTAAAAAGGGTTTTAGACTCTCAGAATTCCATCACTTTTTATAGTGCTGTATTCTTCTAATAGAAATTTGATGCCTAAACTGAAATCTAATCTTTTTTCAAAAGAATCAAATACAGTAATAGGGTGGGAAGGCCACAAAGTTATATTTTATGTACATATTTCCACCTGATCTCAGTCCTTCCCTATAGAGCCTTTAGTATAGATAGACATTGGACTCTAGAACCTCCTTCAGTCAGTTCTCTGGAAAGTCCCTGGAGTCCTTTGACACAAAACAGGAAATTGATGAAAGGCCACGTTTAATATTTTGAGAGAGGGTCTCATATAGATCAAGCTGGCCTTAAGTCACTATGTAGACTAGAAAGTATTCCATTTCTCCCTCGTCGTGACTCTGGGCACTACCCCTGCTTCCTCAAGGGAAAACTGATCTTGACTTAAGGGCAGAAAACCCTTGGACAAATATGCCAGTTTTAGAGAAGCCCCATATGAGGAACACTTGAACTCACTAAAATAATGATTCTGTAAAAGCTGTACACTATTTCTGTTGAGAAATACTGTATTAGCCAAGGAAGAATGCAAAATACTTGGTATCTGCTTTAATCTTACGTGCTTTTGCTTTTGAATTGATAACAGGTGGTGTTCGGATCACCCATGAAGCTGTCGGTGTTGAATTTGAGCTGCTGGCAACCTAAAGAAGCTTCTTTTGCCCTTAACTGCTGGATTCCAAATTAGTAGATTCATTAGTAGAATGTAACTGTATTCCTAGGTAGTTTGGCAAACATTGGCCTCTCTTGGTAGAAACCTTGAGAGTTTTGCTTTGTGGGGCTTTAGCAAAGTTTCATTTTATGGTTCTACTTATGAGCTTCAGCTGCTGTGCTAAAGCACTTCCTTGACCTTCTCTACTATCATAACCTGTGTGATGCTGTCTGGAAACCCTACTTTAGGACACTCGAATTCCCAGAGTTGGAGCACAGAGACATTTAGATGTCTCTTCCTATAAAAATCTTCTATTTACCCACACCCTAGTTAAACGTGTACTTCTCAACCTGGGCTGCTTATCTCCCTGTCTTTTGTGTGTGTGTGTGTGTGTGTGTGTGTGTGTGTGTGGCGGGGGGGGAATCTAGCTGTGTTCTCTCAGTCTCAGGTTTCTGTTATTTTATTATTAAGCTTCATCATTTGCAGAGCATTACCCTCCATTACTGTTTAGGGGTTGAAAAAATGTTTAGTTGAATAAATAATTAAATAGTGGCAATTATTTCTTTTCCCTTATGGGAACTGAATCTAGCAAGGACCCTTTAAAATCTCCGAATTGTCACTCCAAACCATTGAATGGCTTTTCAGCTGAATGAATTAGTAACATACAAGTGGTTATTTTCATGGTTTTGCTGTTGATCTTCTATTAGATCTTGGAATTTTCTTTTGTTTGCTTCTATGTTGGACTAACTGTAATGAAAAGAGTCAGTGCTTTGAAAGGGGGCCCCCAGTTGGTTCCAGTATGTCACTTTAATAGACTTTAAACATTAAAAAGTCTAAACAAAGAAAAATGACACTAGAATGTATAACTCCATGTATGCCATATGCTATATTTAAATCTTTAATTTCTTGTGGTGAAATGTAGCTTTACTATTAAAATGACCTTTTCTTTGGAACTTTTTTTTGACTTGTACCTTAAAGCTTTTGAAAAGATTATTAATTCTGAGATTTACAAACAGAAGATATAAAGAAGTCTTAAAGCTGGTACTGTTTAAGAATGTATTAGTCTCAGAAACTATGTATATGTGATATAATCTAAATAAAATACATACCTCTTAGAATGCTGTGCCATTTACCTTGATGAATATCTGAGGAGATATATCTTTTATGACAAGCACACAGATGATAGCATGGTTTGACATCCAAAACATACCTGGCCATTTTTCTTAAAGCTTTATTTTGCTAAGTGTCTGTTTCATTGAGCTTCATTGTACCTCTCAACAGACTTGTGATCATGGGATGCCTCATTTGCATGATGTGTACATTCTGTTTAATGTTAATACATTTTCATGGAAGAGTCTGATGGCTTGCTGGTGTTTTGTTTTTATAACCTCAGTAAAGAAACTCACTGAAATCAACTCAGATTTTAAAACCTGAAACTAGATAGTGAAAAAACGGCCAATTGATTTCTGTACAGGTAGGTGTTCTTCTCTGTCAGATTCATTAAAAATTCCTCAGTTGTCAGTGCCAAGTGGAGCTAGCTGTAGCTTCATTGGTGGCTTGTCCATAGAACACGATGAACTTCAGAGAATGGGTAGGTTGCACTGAGCAAGCAGTTAGCTAAGTGAAGAAATACCTAATTATGGTGTAATTGATGAGACTTTCACATAGCAGTTTGGCATTCAGATAATTGGAGTGGGAATATTGCCTGTTTCTTTCAAGAATGGGGAAACCCAGACTTGACTTTTTTTTTTTGTATCTGGTGTGAGTTTCTTGGGGAGACATGAACACTGACAGAAACCTAAGTCTGGTTTGGTGAACCAGTAAGTTCATTGGGGTTCCTTCAGGTGTATGGATGAAAGATTTTTTATAGTTGTTCAGATGAATCAAAGGCAGCTATATCACATAAAAAAACTACCCAAGTAGTTTTGGTGATGACTCTCAAGAACTAAACCCCTGGAGTTCTAGAATGTTCTTAAAAGTCACTTGCAGGCAGGTTAGCCAGCTCTCACCAGCTACTGTTTACTGTTTGTATAATTTTGAAGGACTTTGTGAATCTTGTAACTTTCAGGAGTCTGTTATCTTTGTTTGCATCATCAGGTTTATGAGTCTCCTACCCTCCAGAGAAAATAGCTACATATAATACATACATTACATATAATATGACTCAGGCTTGTCCCCACTCCCTGGGAATAGTACCAACCAAGGGATTAGACTTTTGAACCTTCATGATGACTTCTTCCAGAGCAATCTGAAGCTAAGGGCCCAGTCAGCACAGCCTTTCAAGGATCTGCTGACAGAGCCTCTGACGGGATTAGAAGTCATTTGTGTTAGGGCTGGAGAGATGGTTTGGCAGAGGTCCTGAGTTTAATTCTCAGCAACCACATGGTGGCTCACCACCATCTGTAATAGGATCCCATGCCCTCTTCTGGTGGGCATGAAAACAGCATACTCATATAAATCTATCTTAAAAATATTTTTTAAAAAAGAAGTCATTTGTATCATCATAAACTCTACCATAGGGCTGAGGGTGTTGACCACTCAGTCCTAAGAGTAATTGTTAGTTTTTGAATATCCTAATTGTTTGCATGGTGTATACAGGTTTTCTAGTAAGTGCTTTTTAGAAACCAAATTTAGAAATAATACAAAGTAATTCATTGCTAAGTGTGTACACTTTATTTGGGGGCAACTCCAATTTTCACTTCTCAGTATTTTTCAGGAGTCCTGATCATGAAAGAAAATGATGATTATTGGAAATACTAGAAGCAAGAAGCCTGTTATGCTCTTCCACCCAAGAATCTTGGAAGGAATGACTGAAGACAGTAATTCCACAGGAGGGCAACTATTAAGGAAAAAAGTCAGTGCTTTGGTTTTTATATGTTAGAATTTTAAAAGATCATTATAAGTGCCTAGAAATAAAATTCTTAGAAATAGCTATCTTTTGAGAGCTTAGTTGGAGGCTTCTAGGGAAGCTTCTAGAGCAGGGAAGCATAGCTGCTCTATATCCTTGAGTAAAGACTTGTCCTCATCATCTTCAATCATCCAAGCATAAAGCTTCAGGGGGGACAAACATGACCCAGTGAGAGAGGAATGGACACCTGCCTAGTTATCTAGATCAGCTGAATCAACCCCAGGGATCAATAGAATGACAGATATTATAGTCAGATGGCCCTCATATCCAAGAAATATCCTTCTGAGGTTTGCCCAAGGGGTCTTAGGATGGGAAGATCTGTGCACATGAAGAACTGGAAGGAGGCACTCACATTTTAGTCAACCAATGGGGTTTCTTTTGGACCAAGTCAGAATTCTATAGTTTATGTAAGAAAACAAAACTAAGAAACTTAATTTTTTAGAAAGTGAAATTTCTTCCAGCAAATAGTAAAGTGCATACGATTTTTATTACTTAAAACAGTATATGCTGATAGAAATTTAGAATAGCAGTGGAAACCAGCAAGAGTGAAGATAAGCTAGCACTTAATATTGTATGAATCTAGAGGCCGGCCATTTGTACCTGTAGAAAAATAATGGGACTTAGTGCTTCCAGAGGGTTAACTGAGTTGGGTTCTGAAATCAAGTGGAAGAAGAACCTAGAAGTTACAATAAAGAGATGAAAAAGCATCATCTAGAATGTGGATCTCAATTGTGTTTTAATGTTTAAGTGGAATGAAATTTAGATACAAAGCTTGGGAACCTCTTCTGAGGATCCTGTTGTCCATTGCCCCAGGATAATGCTGCAGTCAGGAAGTGGGACAAGGGAGAAGTAGGCCTCTGTTCACTGAGCTGCAGGTTTCTGTGTGAATGTACCATGACAGGCAGCATGAGTTAAGCTTATTCAATGCTGTGTTAAGATTTGTTCATGCCATGAGGTAGATACAAGAGGGTAACATACACACCCCAAGATATACAGCTAGAATTAAGCAGAGCTGGCTTTAACTACAAGACCCCAGATTTGTGCCCTGAGAGGAGGTTGACAAGCTGTTCAGCCACCAAGATCAGAAAAATAATAAACTGCTACTGTTTGTAGCAGTGCCAGCCAAGACTAGGGAATCCTAGTTCTGAGTATGGTTAATTTCAAAAGGAATTCTACCTTCTTGAAACCATTTTTTTTAATTGAGCTGATCATGGTGTCACACGCTTTATTCCCAGCATTTAGGAATCAGAGACAGGCAGATCTCTTGAGTTCATGGCTAATCTGGTCTACATAGTGAGTTTGAAAACAGTCAGGGTTATCTTATGTAGAGAGACCCAGGACTCAAACAGAAACAAACAAAAATATGCAAACAGATGCAGAGACCCACAGCCAAACATTAGATGGAGCTCAGGGAATCCTGAGAAGAGTTGGGAGGATCGAGGGACCTGATGAGGATAGGGACTCCACAGGAAGACCAACAGAGTCAACTGACCTGGACCCTTAGGGGCTCCCAAAGACTGAACCACTAACCAGGAAGCAAGCACTGGGTGGACCTAGGCTTCCTGCGTATATGTAACAGCTGTGCAGCTTGGTCTTCATGTGACTCCCCCAACAACTGAAGCAGGGCTGTCCCTAAATCTGTTGCCTGTCTGTGGATCCCATTCCCCTAACTGGGCCTATTTTTCTGGTCCCCGTGGGAGAGGATGCGCCTAGTCCTGCAGTGACTTGAAGTGCTAGGGTGTGATGCCTGAAGTGGTTCCCCCTTCTCAGAGAAGAAAGGGAGGGGGGATGGGGGAAGGATCTGTGTGAGAGAGGACTGGGAGGAGAGGGGCTAATATGATGTAAAGTGAATAGATTAATGAAAAAACTACCAAATAAATAAATTAGTTTTAAAAGCCTGAGATAGAATTGACAGCCTGTAAAACCCATGCTTTTAACATAAACAATTAGGTCTGGTAATATACCTGTGTAGCAGGGTGCTTGCCTAGCACACATGGATGACAGCCTAGTGCAGATCCCAGTACCAAAAACAAAACCAAACCCACAACTCCATGGTCTTTATTCATAACATTTTACAGGCACTGTTCCTTTGACATCTGAGAACACCAGGCATGCAAGTGGAACAGATATATACATAAAGACAAAACAAATAAATAAGAAAACAAACAAATAAACTGAGGGGAAAATAGTTATGTTTTTCCATTTCCTTTTTTGTTTTGTTTATTTGTTAGCTTTACATCCTGCTCACTGCCCACCTCTCAGTCACCCCTTCCCATAATCTTCCCCATCTCCCCTCCCCTTCTCCTCTGAGAGGGTGCAGCTCCCCTGAGTATCTACCCACTCTGGCACATCAAGTCTCTGTGAAGCTAGGTACATCCTCTCCCACTGAGACCAGATAAAGTCACCCAGCTAGAAGAACTTATCCCACAGACAGCTTTTGGGATAGCTTCCTGCCCCTGCCCCCAAACCCACCCCACCCCATGCTCCAGTTGTTTGGGACCCACATGAAGACCAAGCTCCACAGTTATTACATATGTGCAGGGAGGCCTAGGTCCAGCCTGTGTATGCTCTCTGGTTGGAGCTGAGAGGTCCAAGAGTCCAGGTTAATTTACTCTGTTGTTCTTCCTGTGGAGTTCCTATCCCCTTGGGGATGACATTCTTCCTCCTATTCTTCTAGAAGAGTCCCCAAGCTCCATCCACTGTTTGACTGGGGGTATCTGTATCTGTCTGAGTGAGCTCAGACTGGGTGGAGCCTTTCCTAGGACAACCTTGCTAGACTCCTGTCTGCAAGCATAACAGAGTTTCATTAAATAGTGTAAGGGGGGATCTCAAGTTAGGCCGGTTATTGGTAAGCCTTTCCTTCAGTCTCTGCTCCATCCCCTATTCCTGCATTTATTGTAGACAGGATAAAGTTTTGTGGGTGGGTTGATGTCCCTACCATTCCAATGGTATTCCTGCCTGGCTACATTAGGTGTCCGCTTCAGGTTTCATATCCCCAATTCTGTGAGTCACAGCTAAGGTCATCCCTGAGGATGTCGGGGCTCATGTCCCTTCCATGACCCCTAGGTAACCCTAAAGGTGGAGGGGAAGCCAATAGATTTCCTGGTAGATACTGGGACTCAACATTCAATCTTAAAACAACCCATGGCACCCCTATCTAATAAAAAGTCATGGGTCAAGGGGCCTACTGAGACTGATCAATATTCATGG